TGTGTGCAGAGTCGCTGAGTGCTAAGACGCTGTGCGCGGAGTTGCTGGGTGCGGAGTCGCTGAGTGCTAAGACGCGGTGTGCGGAGTCGCTGAGTGTTAAGACGCTGTGTGCAGAGTCGCTGAGTGCTAAGTTGCTGTGTGCAGAGTCGCTGTGTGCAGAGTCGCTGAGTGCTAAGACGCTGTGTGCAGAGTCGCTGTGTGCAGAGTCGCTGAGTGTGAAGACGCTGTGTGCAGAATCGCTGAGTGCTAAGACGCTGTGTGCAGAGTCGCTGTGTGCAGAGTTGATGAGTGCGGAGTCGCTGAGTGGGAAGACGCTGAGTGCGGAGTCGCTGTGTGCAGAGTTGCTGGGTGCAGAGTTGATGAGTGGGAAGACGCTGAGTGCGGAGTCGCTGAGTGCAGAGCTGCTGTGTGCAGGATAGATGAGGTGCAGAATAGATAAGAGCGGGGAGAAGTTAAGTAAATGTGACGGTACAAATAGTTATAGGTGTGCCTATAACTGGCACAAGAAAAGGTGAATAAAGTATAAGCAGGTGACTTGTTACAACGTGTCGGTGTAATTTTTGAAGAGACTACACACGTGTGCTGACCGGTGAGGGAAGCCCTCCTCCATACGTATACTTCTCTGTTTTTCATGCTTTATACAGCGGTGTTTCCATTCGTGCGGCTCACGCACTTTTACTGAGAAATCCGTGGTGTTTTGTTGTTGCCCCAGGATGGGTTTGCGTTCACATTTCACTAAAAACATTCCACGCACTTCTTCAACTGAGCCCTCCACCCAGTCGTTGTGAGCCGGCGTGAAGCGGGTGGCGCTTTGCACAGTGGACCCTCTGCCCCAAGTTCAATTCTCGGGCAATAGCTAAAATGAGTCGCAAGTGACAATTAAACCGGTCCTGGGCGTCCCTGTCCCTGCCCCCTTCACCAACCCGCACTGACCAGCACTGGTGAGGTATGATCAAAACGAACCCTCATGACTTAAGCAGCTTGGGGGGGGGGGAACTTCATGCAAAAATGAACCGACAAAAAAGGGCATGCGAATTATTTCACTGTAAACTGTTTAAATTGTTTTCATTTTGGGATTTTTTTGTTTTCTACTTACGTGAATTTACCGAAAGAACCAAGAATATGAATGTTTAATTTACTGTTTAGATCTGCATCAGAAACTTAAGTCAGGCCCACATTTGGAGGTTGTTCATTTTTGATGGATGCAAGTCATCACAAATTAAAAGGGCAGCTTAAGTTGCAGGAAACTAATCCGGACACTGCTGGGTAGCTGGCAGCTCTTAACGAATTCAAGTTAAGGGCTGGTAACAGCCTGGACACCTATTGTGGGGTTAGGACCGCTCAAGCATTCGCCGATTACTCAAAAGGACTTCACAGTAGATTGTTCTCTGTTGTAGTTCCACCTCCTCAGTCCAATATATATTTTTTATTTCCATCAGCTTCTCTCTCGGAGCAAAGGCTCACTTCACACATGCTGCTACAGGGGAAAACGCCGCAGTACAACATCGCAAATTCTGCCCCGACCATTTTAATTGGCCGCACCCAGCACAGTATTTGTGCGAGGCGTCACTGAATTTCTACAGATGTTCGCAAATGTAACCCTTTGAACATACATTAATGCATTTCCTAATCTCGTGTACATTAGATTACTTTTAAAGTACACAGTGAAACGTGTTTACAATGTTTAAATTAGTTTACAATTTATTTGTGTCCAGTTACCTATCTGTACATGGTTTAACTGTATTTTTTACTATTTACAGATCAACCTTTTTGACATAGCCCATGGCATCAGTCCCCAGCGGAGTCGTCGTGCTGCTCTGCTGCGCCATCACATTTGGTGTTGGAGCTTCACAGAGTGGCCCCTTGGTGCGTGCGTGTGGGGAGCGGTGGTGCAGCGGTTAGCGCTACGCTGCGACACGAACCCGGAGACCCCGGGTTCCATTCCCGCTCACGGCCGACACCGGTGACGATTGTCTGAACCGGTTCTGGGCCTCCCCTAGGTCGACTCAGCCTCAAATGAGTACCTGGTGCGGTGCGTACAAACATCGCCACTAGGGAGACAAAGGCGGCCGGGCGTGGTGCTGGCCACCCACCCCCCGGCCGTGTGCCGTGCCGGCCTTCATAGGTGCTCGCAAACGGCACTTGATCCAACAGTCTGTTTAAGGCTACACGCGGGGTGGGTCTTTTGTTTTTGTTTGCCATGACCATGCGTGGGTAAAAAGAGTGGACTGGTAAGGTTCGAGTTGGGGTACAGGGCTAGGGCTACACAGGTTGAACACTTTAACTTTTTTTCAGAGCGGCAATATTGCATACTGCACCACTTTTTGGTTAGACCATGTACAGTACATAATTGTAAATTTCGGCGAGCAATGAGTCTCACGCCACAAAACCATCACGCTCTTGCCGGAATCGGGTCACGATTTAACAATTGACTTCGATTTGGTTCCGTGACGACGTCGTCCTGCTCTGTATAAGACTGGAAGCAGGTGGATTTCTTCACTATTCTGGCAAATCGCCCGATGACGCTGGATGTAATTACCAGCGAAACGTCGTACAAGTCAATTTGTAAATGTTGTGGATTTACTCTCCAACACACCGGTGGGCTGAAGTAGTAACCATTTGACGTTTTGTTTACGTGTCGGGTGGTGGAGGGTTACGACACATTTAAACGTATGCGATGTAACCCAAAAAACCTTGATTATGAACGTTTCGTCTTGTTTGTCCGAGCTTGTCGCTACTCCTCCTTACTGGTTGTCTCGTATGTACTGCCTTGTTCTCTCCGATTTGTTCCATGATCCGAAACATTCTCATCAATTTTAAAAGTACTTTCACGAATGATCAGACACGCATCGTGAGTGTACGAATTTATTTGACTCAACTAAACGATAAGTCGCTACACACCCAAGTTCCGCGTGGCGATGTATAGATACTTGGGTGTTGGTTTCTTGGACTTGTCAAAAATCGCACCACCAGATATTCGCCAAAAAAAACAGCACTCAATCTGACAATCAATGATGATCTCAACATCCCACATCCACGGATGAGATGCAGGACTCATCCGTTTTGTAAACGCGCACACAGCCGTGCGTGACGTGAATTTCAGCATCGAAACGGCGTGGACCAATTCATGGGATTCAAGCAACGTGCCCAATACCAACAAGCACCGGACCAGCGAGGCCAAACACCATCACCACACTGCCCAGCTTCCACAACACAGCTCACCAGCAAGCCCACCACCACCACCACACTGCCCGGCTTCCACAACACACAGCGGACCAGCGAGCCCACCACCACCATCACATTGCCCAGCTTCCACAACACACAGCTCACCAGCGAGCCCACCACCACCACACTGCCCGGCTTCCACAACATACAGCTCACCAGCGAGCCCACCACCGCCACCATCACACTGCCCAGCTTCCACAACACACAGCTCACCAGCGAGCCCACCACCATCACACTGCCCAGCTTCCACAACACACAGCTCACCAGCGAGCCCACCACCATCACACTGCCCAGCTTCCACAACACAGCTCACCAGCGAGCCCACCACCATCACACTGCCCAGCTTCCACAACACACAGCTCACCAGCGAGCCCATTTTTCAACTTTTTGAATATTTTGACCATGAGGCTGGTACATGATGACCAACTTTTGTGGATGACATCAAGGATCGTCAACGGCGACTGTCAAGCAGATGACGCATATTTTTTATGGATTCGAACTGTGAAGCTCTACTACAATCAGACAACGCACCATCGCTAGGCCATGTCACTGTTCAATGTTGCTGCTGCTGCGTCGGTTACTGTTGCTGGTGATTGTAACGCTTCTGCAAATGCTGCTTTACCATCACCAACGCCGAGCACAAGGAGTGGATGTCTCGATTAACGCCGCACACCACCTGGTGCAGCTAAACCTGTAGCCGAACGGAATGGCTAAGTCGCTTAGAACAGAATGTCTAATGTTTGCTCTTCATTGGCCATACGAAAGAAAATCTATGCGTAAAGTCACACGACGCTATATTGGGTGACAGTAGTGCGATATAGGCATCACACACACACACGGTCAGCTTTGAAGGTCAACAGTCCCACAGCGTGCGGCATGACCATTTAGCCGAGTGTGGTCGTGCTTGCCTTTAAGCTTGCGCTCTGGATGCATGGGTGAGTGGACCGCGCAGAATTCAAAACGCCTGCTGGCCAGGTGATGGCAGCACAGAAAGTGACTATACGAACCCATGTGGATGGATATTTATTGTGTTACCTCCTCGTATGCATGGGTTATCTCCGGGCACACTAATTCTCTCCCACTTGTAGTGAAACTACTTAAAAAGCAATTGCCCGAACATCCCAGTGCAAGGAACCCACAGCATAAAATTATTGAGACTCAGCGAGGCTTTCCTGAATAAAAATAAAAGACATTAGTGTTTCACAACACCCATATCTTGATGTGAGCAATGCAAGTGATTTGCGTTAGAAAATCAAACGAGTAGGACTTACATATAATTGGTGTCACTAAAGGTGTGGTCATCTTAAGTGGTTACCATCTGGATAAATGTCATCACCCCAGGTCACCTGCAAAACTTCCTATGTGGGCACCAGGCTATACACCAACGACCTCTTTGGACATTCGTAAGTGAGCTTAACATGCAGGAGGCTTTCGCGACCAATATTAATAAAGGTTTTTGGGTTCCATCGCTTAAGTATAAATGCGTCAAAACCCTCCACCATCCAACGCAGCCAACTGTAGCTGGTAATTACATCCAGCATCATCGGGCGTACTCAAATTGTAAATGTTGTGGATTTACTCTCCAACACAACGGTGGGCTGAAGTAGTAACTATTTGGCGTTTTGTTTACGTGACAAATCCCTTACTAATTGGCTGTGTCGGGTGGTGGAGGGTTTCAACACATTAATAATAACGCGAACTAACCCAAAAACCTTTATTATCAATTCGTGTGTGAGCATGATGTAGGAAGTGCCACTTCGTGGTCTCTCGTCCAATCTTGGCACAAAACCCGGCCCCGCAGCGGTGGCAACGGGTATTTATTAAACGCGATGAGGGAGCAGGCATCGTGTCAAAAAGGAAAAAAAGCTGTGCTGGGAAACTGGCGAGTCCACGCGTTCCACTGTAAAGAAATTATAGCGCGTGGATGTTAGCGCTATGCACACGGCAATAACTATACATGAATACGCGCGCCGTGCATCACCGATCCTACATGGCTTGTAACCACTACATTCCCAAACACAGACACCAGGCAAGCTACAATATTAATAAACACACCTAAAAAAGTGCAACGTCGTAGTGTTGTGTACATCAGTCTTGACATTCACAGCGACCGTGCGTCATGCCAGTCAAGTATGATGGGACGACTTAACGATTCGCACCTGCCATGACTCAAGAAAACTGTCACGCTTCGTGGTCAAGGTTCGATTCACAAACCCCTTTCTGTTTTTGCCCGTACGGTGCAAGTGGAAGCTGTAGTGGTATAAAACCATGTGGCTTGAAAACAACTGATTCTTACACAAATGATCCGATGGATGTATCGTGCAGCCATCGGCAATGCTGAAATCTTGGGTTCGAATCTGCATTCCCAGCCTTAGATCCTCCGGTCTGAGCCTTCCCCAAGTGACACGTTCTTTGTCACGCCACCAGTACCACAAACGCTGTATAATTGGTGAAAAAAAGCACGCAAAAAAAATAAATCCAGAAAACGCTTGACGTTAATCGATGACGAATCCTTATTTCATCAGCAGCCGCGTTGTTGCCACGTGGCACTTGGGGCCCACGCGCTTCAGCTGCAGTGCGTGGCGACATGGCGCAGGAGGTGCCGTGCCTGCGAAAATCCCTTGCCGCACACCTCGCACTTGTGCGGCTTCTCGCCCGTGTGCGTCCTCATGTGCTTGGTGAGGTTGGACGACTGCGCGAAGGCACGGCCGCACTCCAGGCACTTGTAGGGCTTCTCCCCCGTGTGCACGCGCGTGTGCAGCGCGAGGTGCGAGAACAGCAGGAACTCCTTGCCGCACTCGTCGCACATGAACGCCTTCTCGCCCACGTGGATCTTGCGGTGCAGCACCAGCACCGAGTTGCGCGAGAACCGCTTGCCGCACACCTCGCAGGCGAAGGGCTTCTCGCCCGTGTGCGTGCGCCTGTGCTCGTTGAGCGCCGACGTGTGCGAGAAGATCTTGCCGCAGCTCTCGCACATGTAGGGCTTCTCGCCCGTGTGGGCGCGGGCGTGCACGCGCAGCGCCGACGCGTAGGGGAAGCGCTTGCCGCACTGCGCGCACTGCAGCGGCATGCTGGGCGCCTCGCCCGAGTGCTGCCGCTTGTGCCGCGTCACATTGGACAGGCGCGAGAACTTCTTGCCGCACACGTCGCACGGGTAGGGCCGCGCGCCCGTGTGCGTCTTGCGGTGCCGCCACAGCCCGTTGTAGGAGGCCAGTTTCTTGTTGCACACCTCGCACTGCAGGCTGCGCGCCTTCGTGCGTGGTGCCGCCGCCGCCGCCGCGTGCTTCTTGCCCCCGTGCCTTTCAAGAGCCGGGCGCCCGGCAAACGCCTCGTCGTGGTCGCGCGCCGCGCCGGCCGGCGCCGGGCTCGCGCCCGTTCGCTCGCACGTCTCCTGCGATCCACGCGGCGGACGCTGGCTCCTGCCGGCAGAGCGCCGCGCCCTCGTGAGAGCCCCCTCCTCGTCACCGGGCGCCGAGTCGGAGCCGTCGCCGTCGCCCTCGGCTCCGCCGCCGTCGGTTTCCCCTGCACGACATCGGAGCGGTCGGCGCGAGCACAACGGCGTCCGGGACGGCAACACTTGCCCCGCGGTCGTGCAAGGAGGGATTGGGTACGGAGGGGAAGCGCTGGGGAGACTTGCCGTCATGTCGCTGCTGCCGGACGAGCCCCTGTCCACTCCGTAGCCTCGTGCCGCTAGCTGGCACCTCTTCCTTCAGAGGCTCCTCTTCCTCCTGAGAGCTATCCGATTCATCTGAGGCTTTAAAAAAAGTATATTAAAAAACTGCTTGTACAATAAAATGTGGATTCATATAACGTTTAAATACATCTCAAGATGCTGCACAGAAACAGTGGGTGTATTTATTTTGGAGAGGCAGTCGGTCAGAGGCAGAGAAAAAAAAGTAAGGTCTTGAGCTTGGATTTGAACAGGGGCCAGGGACCAGTCACAAGCTAATCACTCAGCTATTTCAATGCTAAATTCTCCTGTTTGATTTGTACTAGGTGCCTCTGTGGATGTGTAGGCTTTGACTTTAACATAGCTATTTCTATGACCAGTCACAAGCTAATCACGCAGCTATTTCAATGCTAAATTATCCGAACCAAACATTAAACTAATTTTCAATGGTACAGTATATTTATTCAAGTAGTGGTATCCCAAACTTTCGCAGCAGCTTAAATTCCCTTTTCACACCATCAATATGTAAACTACCCCTCCTCCCCTCGCCGGTCTGCACATGTTCACCACCTCTACACCGTTCATCATGCTAAGTCCGCCAATTAAATGCTAATTTTTATGCTAATTCCTTTGTCAAGGCGCTCTGTTTCTTCTCACACAGCTTAAAGGTCGCGGTCTGAGCTTGGCTGTGTTCGCTCCAGCGCTGTCCTCCAGACAGTCTCACCCCTTCACCTGATGAAGGCCACTTGTGTTGTGGCCGAAACATCGTGAGAATTGTATTGTGTTATTTTATTTTATTTTATTATTTTATTCTTTTATTCTCATTCTACGTGACTTTACCGAAATAACCAAAGAAGAGGGGCCAGGGAGTCGTTTCTAAAATGTGGAGGGGAAAACCGGAGGACCCGGAGGAAAATCCACACGACCACGGGCAGGGAGACACACAAACTCCAAATATACAGGCTTCAGGGTCGAGATCGAACCTACGACCTCCTGTATACCAGGCGAGGTAGTTAACATCTTTCCACGGTAAAAGAGAGATAAGCAAACTCCGAATATACAGCAAGCATCAGGGTCAGGTTCAAACCCACGACCTCCTGCACACCAGGCGAAGGTAGTTAACATCTTGCCACAGTGGCTCTATTGTAAAGGATCACGCGGATCAGTGTAAGTGGGTGGGTGGGCGGGAGAGGACGTGGTAACAACCATCTGAGCAGTCAGAGCTTGAGCTGGACTCTCCCCAGCCTCCGTTCAGCGCTGCCGCTTCCTGGAGGATGGCCAGGGCCGGGGGTGGCGCGTCGGCCAGCGGGAAGCACGCTCCGCCAGACATCCCAACGGGTTTGGGGTGGGACAAGGCCGCGGGGCTGTGGGACAAGGGGCAGATGTATGGTTAAACGCATCAACGTGAAGAGGACTGACGTAACTGCCGGGTGGCTTGTCGGCGGACTGCTGAGCTGGCACCGCTCAGGTACTGGGTTCGAATCCGGGTTTCGGCTGCTTGTGATTAAACTTCGAGTACCGGAGTGTGGAGAATTGATGGTCGCAGCTCAGTCACCAATTAACGTACAAAATACACCTTCACCTGGCTTTGCACTTCATACGGGTACACTGCGGCTCTGAGAGTAAATAAATAAAAAGTTTTGATTGCCATGCAATAGGCATTGCTGCCTGTGTGGCAGGACGTGTGACAAAGCGAGGCCTACTCGTGCGGTTAAGGTCACCTGACGACACTTTAGAAGCAGTTCTGTGATATCCCCTTCTGCGGACTGTTCTCTCAAACGGGTTGTGCAAAAATGGCAGCAAAATCGGAAGAAAAGACAAAAGAAACGAGAGAATCGGCTGCATCCCTAGAACATCATCATCACTTTATTCATCACCATCATTATCGTCACCAACATGACCACCTCAACGGTCATCACTGTCACCATCATCATCATCACCCGCACCAACAATGGCATCACCATCACGACCGCGATCACCCCGACCATCACACCATAACCAGCGTCACCAGCATTACTACCAATAATCATCAATCATCAATCCCATTATCATTATTACCACCAGCCCGACCAAGACAAAGATTCCCACCGTGTACCCTTAACCGGCTGCTGAGGCACGCGCTGTCAGCCAGCACCTATGAAGGCCGACACGGCACACGAGGGCGTTGGAAGGCCAGCAACCACGCCCGGCCGCCTTTGTCTCCCCATTAGTATTGTTTTTTTACAAACAGCACCAGGCACTCATTTGAGACTGAGTCGACCTCGGGGGAGGCCCTGATAATCGTCACTGGCCGTGATAATCATCACTGGGTGTTGTCCGTGAGCGGGTTCGTAGCGCCGCACGCTAACCGTTGCACCACCGCTCCCCCATCCTCTCACCACCACCACCACCACGCATCACCAACTACAGCACCGTCATCAAAGCCACTACTGTCACCAACTAACATATTACTACTGCCATTACCACTATCAACACCCTCAAGCACCTGGAGCATCACCAGAACTGCGATCACGCCGAAATCTCAACCAAGAACGCCACTGTTGCTACCATCACCACAATCACGGCCACGGGTATCACCCCAGTCACCACCCACCACCTTCACACTCACTACCATCAGCATCAGCACCGTATCACATCACCAAAGATCCCCGTGTAACCTTAACAGAATGTTGGGGCAGGTGATGTTAGCGAGTAGCAACATCTAGGAAGACCGGCACAGCACACGAGGGGGTGGGTGGCCAGCACCACACCCGACCGCCTTTGTCTCCCCAGTGGCGATGTTTACAGACTACACCGGGTATTCATTTGAGGCTGAGTCGACCTAGGGGAAGCCCCGGTTCAGATGCTCGTCACTGGTGTTGACCGTGAGCGGGAATCGAACCCGGATGGCCGGATTCGTAGCGCAGTACAACGCGAACCGCTACACTAACATCACCATCACTGTCACCACAACCACCACAGTAGCAACACCACCATCACCACCACGACCAACCACCATCACTGTCACCACAACCACCACAGTAACAACACCACCATCACCACGACCAACCACCATCACTGTCACCACAACCACCACAGTAACACCACCACCACCACGACCAACCACCATCACCGTCACCACAACCACCACAGTAACAACACCACCATCACCACGACCAACCACCATCACTGTCACCACAACCACCACAGTAACACCACCATCACCACGACCAACCACCATCACTGTCACCACAACCACCACAGTAACAACACCACCATCACCACCACGACCAACCACCATCACTGTCACCACAACCACCACAGTAACAACACCACCATCACCACAACCACCACAGTAACAACACCTCCACCACCACGACCAACCACCATCACTGTCACAACCACCACAGTAACAACACCACCATCACCACCACGACCAACCACCATCACCGTCACCACAACCACCACAGTAACACCACCACCATCACCACGACCAACCACCATCACTGTCACCACAACCACCACAGTAACACCACCATCACCACCACGACCAATCACCATCACCACGACCATCACCACTATCACCACCATCACCACGACCAACCAATATCACTGTCACCACAACCACCAATACCACGACCAACCACCATCACTGTCACCGCAACCACCATCACCACCACGACCAACCACCATCACTGTCACCACAACCACCACAGTAACAACACCACCATCACCACGACCAACCACCATCACTGTCACCACAACCACCACAGTAACAACACCACCATCACCACGACCAACCACCATCACTGTCACCGCAACCACCACAGTAACAACACCACCATCACCACCACGACCAACCACCATCACTGTCACCACAACCACCACAGTAATAACACCACCATCACCACGACCACCACCACCACGACCAACCACCATCACTGTCACCACAACCACCACAGTAAGAACACCACCATCACCACCACGACCAACCACCATCACTGTCACCACAACCACCACAGTAACAACACCACCACCACGACCAACCACCATCACTGTCACCACCACCACCACAGTAACAACACCACCATCACCACGACCAACCACCATCACTGTCACCACAACCACCACAGTAACAACACCACTGCTATGAGCACAGTCGTCACTGCCACCATCACCACCATCACCACGACCAAGCACCATCACCACGACCATCACCACGACCATCACAATCCCTACCAATGACCATCACCGCATCATCACCCTCCTCACCCCTCCCCCTTCTCCCGCCCCGACTCACCGCTCACCCCGCCCCTCACCACCGCTCACCCCGCCCCTCACCACCGCTCACCCCGCCCGTCACCACCGCTCACCCCGCCCCTCACCACCCTCACCCCGCCCCTCACCACCGCTCACCCCGCCCCTCACCACCCTCACCCCGCCCCTCACCACCCTCACCCCGCCCCTCACCACCGCTCACCCCGCCCCTCACCACCCTCACCCCAGGTGGCTGTGATCTGGGCCTCCTACTCCAGGCTCCTCGCACTGTCACCGCGCATGCGCATCGCTAGGGGCGACGGGGGTTGGCCCCGCCCACTTCGTCTGGCCACGCTAATTTTATTTCTAACCCCGCCCACTCTCGATAGCCCCCACCCACTCCATCGTCTAGCCCCGCCCACTCTCGATAGCTCACCGCCCAGTTTCCTCAGAATCTATATTTTGGCTGTAGGAGGAATCCGATGAGCTGTGAACCTCTTTTTAAACAGATGTATGTCCAGTATGGACGGGCCAGCAAATTACAACGACAAAATACAAAAAAAGTAGAGAAAATGGCAATCCAATCACCAAATGCAATTAAAATAATTAAGTATACACGTCCGATTTATCGAGCTTGGGCAGAGCAGGAAAAAAAATCGCAGAAAGTCCCAGACCATACCAAGATAAGAACACAGTCCCTCAATAAAATGTCCCATGAACATTGCACCATCACACACAGACAAGGATCAAAGTTCTTCCTCCGGCCTTGCCCAATCTCTCCAGACTATGCTTGCACATCCAAGGTATCTTCTCACGAGCAAGATGCTGGAGATCTTAGACATCCCAACGCAGGACCCTCCTGACACGGGAGCCTTAAGACTCGGCGAGGCCTTGCTAGATAAATACATGCCAGGAATATTACAAACGGCAAATGCTTTTGGGTGTTTTTTTTTTAATGAACAATTTGCTGTGCATTACAGAAGCAACAAACCCCAGTAAACAGTACAACGTGACACACTCAGCGACACAGCAGCTCATTTACGCATTCTCTTACTGCAACGCAGCTCAGCACTTTCATTCTCGAATGCTCGTTTGTAGCGGAGATGCAGTAAGTGTTTGCTTTTGCAATTGCAGAGGTGCGTGGGGAGCAGGTTTATTATCATTACATTGCATTTTTTGGAAGTCACTTCTGAACGTAAAAACAAAACGCCTTATAACGGTAAACAGCAGCAAGCGACATAAAAACACGACAACCTCCCGAGAACGCTCGCCCTCAAACTTTAAAGCAACATCCGCAAAAAAGAGAGAAACCTCAACTCACACGATGTTCAACGAAAGCGTAAAACCAAGCAAACGTGCGATGTTTGGAGACTTTGGCGGCGAGACACAGTTGCGAAAAACCAACAGTCGTGACTAGGGCTGTCACTTGCTGATCTATATTATTCCACACCAATGAATAATCAACAAGTATTGATAGATCTCATAGCTTACTTTCAAAAAGTGATAAAGAATGAATGTTGTCATTGTTCTCGTAAAATGTTTTTATTCATACAGCGCCGTTCAACACGGCTTTGCTACGGCAGCAATAAGGAGGTAAGTCGCCTTAGCAAACCGGGCATCGAACCCATCACCCTGTGGTGCCGACCTGCCACTTTCAGCAAGATATTCTCCCCTGTTGCTGCTGATGCCGCCCTCCGTGCCACTTTGGCAAACCAATATCCATTGACAAATCCGATTATCGGGCAGGCTGATCAATCGTAATCGACGGAGGTGCTTGTCAACGTTATCGATGCACTTGACAGCCCTAGTTTTTTTCACGAGCGTGTTCCGTCATGGTAGATTGAGAACATCAGGAATCCTGCGTGTGCCTCTGCGCACCGTAGCCAGGCGACTCGAGTTGGGCTAATGCAGGAGAGGTCGTAGGTTGTGCAGGACGGGGTCACGCGCACGACCAGAACGCAGTTTCGGCGCCAGGCCCGGCCGTGTCCGGCCGTGTCCCTCCCCACGTTCCCGTTCCGTGCATCCGAGAAGACCGACCGGAGAAAAGCAGCATGCGAAGGCCTCATCAGCTCGAGTCATCTTGCATAGTGTCGGATGTAATCCTGCACCTTGTTCCTGAACTCGTCCTGCATGGGAAGGGAAGAGAAAAATAAAAATGAATATGCATGTGATTCTGTAATGCTTTCCAACATGCGAATGTTCTCCGAAGTATTCAATGAGTGATAATGCATACGTGTCAACTGCTTATCTATTCCTGCCATATTACAGCCCAATTCAGATCTTATTGAATCTTGACTTAAAGCTTTCGTGACTGCAGGAATTCATATTCTTTGGGTCTTTCGGTAAAATCACGTAAATAGGTTCAAAGAAAATAACAAAAAATAACAAAAATACGTTTTGATCACAACACAAGCATTCATCATCAGGAAGAGGGGGTTAGCTTCTAAAGGTAAACTGTTTATAAAAGTTTGAAATGGGCGTAGCCCAAATGTCAGCAGCAAATGATAATGTAAGTGGTGGGCAGCGACCATGGCAGTGGTGGGTTTCCCACCAATCAAAGGGCTGCCAAGTAAAAATTTGCATGATAATGTAAGATCGTTGAGAGGCCTCCACGGCGGTGCCCTGAGGTGGCTATGTTAATGTAAGAGATTAGCATGTTAATTTGAGAGATTAGCATGTTAATGTGAGAGATTAGCATGTTAATGTGAGAGATTAGCATGTTAATGTGAGAGATTAGCATGTTAATGTGAGAGATTAGCATGTTAATGTGAGAAATTATCATGTTAATGTGAGATATTAGCATGTTAATGTGAGAAATTAGCATGTTAATGTGAGAGATTAGCATGTTAATGTGAGAGATTAGCATGTTAATGTGAGAGATTATGATGTTAATGTGAGAGATTATCATGTTAATGTGAGAGATTAGCATGTTAATGTGAGAGATTAGCATGTTAATGTGAGAGATTAGCATGTTAATGTGACAGATTAGCATGTTAATGTGAGAGATTAGCATGTTAATGTGATAGATTAGCATGTTAATGTGAGAGATTAGCATGTTAATGTGAGAGATTAGCATGTTAATGTGAGAGATTAGCACGTTGATTATAGATTAGCATGTCTATGTGAGAGATAAGCATGTTAATGAGAGATTAGCATGTTAATGAGAGATTAGCATGTTAATCTGAGAGACTAGCATCTTAATGAGAGATCAGCATGTTAATGAGAGATTAGCATGTTAATGAGAGATTAGCATGTTGATGAGCGATTAGCATGTTAATGAGAGATTACCGTGTAAATGAGAGATTAGCATGTAAATGAGAGATTAGCATATTAATGAGAGATTAGCATGTTGATGTTAGATCGCAAAGCAAAAATCTTGAGCTCGGCGAGCGAGGTGGCTGTGTTAGGGTGAGAAATTTAACCTGTTCATGTAAAATCAGAGCCGAAAATAACTAACATCGGAAGGTGGTAGGATGGGAACATCGCAGCTAGTTATGACTTAAACTGGTTGATAACGTCCTTCCAATGATTGCTTAGTTTATACCCATTTTTTATATTGAAATTGTCTTTGTCTATATATATATGGATGGCTTCATGAACGAATCTTTGTTGATAGCCAGTGGATTTGCAAAGTACCTTCGTCTTAGAGAAATCAATTTCGTGAGCCCACCGCATTAAAACAGTGATCAGCCACGGCCGAGGTATTGGTCCTACCGTGTTTCAGATCTGCCTTATGTTCACGAACACGGTCCGAGACATGTTGCTTAGTTTCCCCAATGTAACTACTGCCGCAGACACAGCTTAGTTTGTAGACGCCAGGGTACTGCATGTCGGGGATCACATCCTTCACAGATCACGAATTTTATGTACTGTGTTAAATCAAACCTGGACCTTGTGTTTGCTCATGATTTTGGAAATCTTTTTGGTGACCCCTGCTATGTATGGAAGGTGATGGTATTGATTGGGTCCTCAAATGGTTCTTTCCCAAAGGTTGGGGTGATAGCTTTACGGATTGTGAAGTCTGAATATCCATTCATCTTGAGAGCTTGGTGTATGTGTTCCAGTTCACTGTCTAGGTGATGATGGTCGGAAATACATCGAGCTCTGTGGTGTAGAGTTTTGATGAGGGAATTCTTCTGGGAAGGATGGTGGGAGTCAGGTTTTTAGATATGTCCCATTGAGCCATCTGGTCTCAGATGGCTCATTGGGACACTGTCTACAGGAAAGCCACCCATATGGATGCATATCTAAAACCTGACTCCCACCATCCTTCCCAGATTCAAGAGTGACTTAAAAAAAAAGTGTGATCTGTAATGGTTATGAGCACCCTGTAAATAAGAATTGCCAATCCCAGATGGTGCATGGGGATAACAATAAAAAAATCTGACCAGTTACAGTGCCAGACGAACCATCATAAACAAGCATGGGCTGTGTGGCCTAGGCTGTCAGACACCAGTTCAAAGCCTCAATAGTGTGAAAAATTCACTTTACAATCACATACGTGAACTGACGTTACTGCATTACCTTTCTCTTAAAACGCGTTGGAGTGATATCACTGAAGTGCCACAATGACACACAAGACTCAAAGTAATTTTTATTCTCATTAACAGAGCTTTGACTCATTAACAGACCTTAAAAATCATCATGGGGCCTCCTTTGCCAGTACCAAAATATGATAATAGGTTTTCCCCTTTATTCTGGCAACAAAACAGGTGTTAAGATGTTAAAACACCAAACTGAAACCCTTTACGAGGATTCATGTCTGCATTAACCACAATTAACCACAATGCATATATTATCAGAGTATGTGTTTTGTTTGCATTCTGACCACAAGCATTGTGGTTAATGCATACATGATTCCTTGTAAAAGGTTTCAGTTTGGTGTGTTAACATCTTAACACCTGTTCTGTTGCCAGAAAAAAAAGGAAAATCCTATTATCATATTTTGGTACTGTTGTAGCGAGTCCAACTGAGTCGCAGACGTTATTCTTCAGAGGCAACACATTTCTTCTTCAGAGGCAACACATTTATTCGTAACACGTATATACAAAGGGGTAACTGCCCCTTTACCAGATACAGCCTAGGGTGATGATCACCCAGATAACTACACTATACGTAGGCGTTACGGCTACGAAGGGTGGGACCCTCACTCGGGTCCCCGGCCACGTGTTGGTGCCTCTTCAGACGTAGGACGTAGAACGTGGAGCTTCCAGCTTGTAGAACGAAGCGACCCCGGTC